AGGCTCCGCCCTGGAGAGGAATTCGGATGTGTCTGGAAACTAGTGACATCTGGTGATAGGCTCAGTTACTGATACCTGTCTTCCAGGCCTTGGTTCACTCAGCTATAACATGGGGCTAATAAAACTCACCTCATAGGTTGTAAGCATTAAATAATATAACAGATGTGGAAGCCTCTTGTTTAGAACAAGCACTTAGTATTCGAGTCATTTCTCCTTTGCCTCCTCCCCAACTCTATTTCCTATCTTTTTAGAACAAATGTTTGGAAATGGGATGGTGGCTGGGGTGTGTCCCTGTGTCTGTGTCTGGACATTCTCTGCAGTGTTCATCCCCTAGCCTCCCTTTCTGCCAGTACATTGGGAGGGGAGCTGAGACTGGTGTCCTTTCCACTGCTGAAAAGCTACACCTTGGTCTTGTCACCTCCTTCCACGCCCCACCCCGTAATTTTTAAAGGCTTCACTTTAAACATTTAAAAAAAAATTGTAGCAAAATACACATACATAAAATGTACCGCGCTGACCATTTTTATATGCATTCAGTAGCGTTAAGCATAGTCACGTTGTTGTGAGACCAATCTCCACAACTCTTCNAAATGTACCGCGCTGACCATTTTTATATGCATTCATTAGCGTTAAGCATAGTCACGTTGTTGTGAGACCAATCTCCACAACTCTTCATTTTGCGAAACTGAAACTCTATACCCATCAAACACCAACTCCTCACTTCCCACTCCCCGGACCCCTGGCTATCACCATTTTACTTTCTCTGAATTTGACTACTCCAGGTACCTGATATAACTGAATCATACAGTATTTTGTCTTTTTGTGACTGGCTTACTTCATTGAACATAATGTCCTTGAGGTTCATCCATGCTGTAGCATGTGTCAGAATTTCCTTCCTTTTTAAGGCTCACTTAGATATTCACTTTAAACGTTCTTTTTCTTCTTGGCTGAAAAACATCTCTTTTGGGAAGCCCTGAGATAATTCTCTCTAACCACCTGGTGTTCAGGTTGAGGTTCAGGCTGAGCAGGTATAATGAGGTGAATGGTGGGGTTTGGAGGCACGGGGGGAGGGGTGTGCTTGCTTCCTTTCCCAGGTGGGCCTAGCCTCACCCCCAGGTGCCTAGGCCACCTGCAGAAGCCCAGAGGAACCCTGGCCTCCAGCCTATGTTTATTCCCTTATGAAAGGTCAACATGAGATTCCTCAGGCCTCTGGTGTGTAGCTACTCTGGGACATCAGCTCAGCCTGTCCCGAGGGGGTGAGGGTCAGAGGGCTGGTGCCCAAGGTTCCCTGATTGGCATTCCCCTGAGAGCATCTCCTAGGGCCTGGGGGTATCCTGGCATCCTCCTCGGAAGAGTCTGGCTCAGCCTGGGCATGACTGAGTGTGGCCATGGCCTCTCAGGTCTTCCTCGGGACCACCCAGAGAGCTACCACTCCTTCATGTGGAACAACTTCTTCAAGCACACCGACATCCACCCGGAAAACACCCACATTCTGGACGGGAACGCAGCTGACCTGCAGGCTGAGTGTGACGCCTTTGAAGAGAAGATCAAGGCTGCGGGCGGGATTGAGCTGTTTGTCGGAGGTGAGCATGACACTGCAGGAGTCTAGGCCAGACCCAGCGTGGTTAGAACACATGCCTGTCTCAAACAGCTTCTTCTCTGTGCTAGTGATGGTGGGAGCCACTGTTGCTCTGAGGAGGCAGGGAAGGCAGAGTGGGGCCCCTCCCCCCTGCCTTGGTTGTGCAGCTCAGTAGCTGTGTGACGTTGGATATCTCCCCTTCCTGCACTTCAGTGCCTTGTCCGAAAATTGAGAGGTTTGAATTTGGGCTCTGAGACTCTATTTCCCAATCTTAAAGTTTTGTAGCTCAGTCAAGTAAAATCACAGGCTCATGGAGTTCCAGAAGATTCCACACTCAGCCCCTGCACGCTATAGATAGCCAAGTAAACTCCAGGAAAGTTTTGTGATCTTCCCAAGATTAACTGGCCAGAGTAGTGGAGACAAGGCAGGAGCCTAGGGGCTCCTCTTGGATTTGTGCCCTTGTTCCTACCCTGGGCTGCCCTCTTACATTCCCACATGTTGCCAGCTCTGGAGTCAGCCACAGGGGTGTGAAGTTGGACTGCCTTTTACTGTTCTAGATTTAACTTTACCAAGATGGGGAGGAAGAAGCCAGGAGTGCTTGTGATCTGAGACTGCATAAACTTGGCAGCCCCTGTCCAGGCCCCGTGTTTTATTCACTGCCACTCTATCCTGGTAGCAGAACCCCTGACTGTTGGCAGGGGAGAGAGAGGGGTTACACTTCGATGAACTGGGGAGGCAGAAGCTATTTGGAATACCCCTTACTTAGTTTTTTGAGGATGGTAATAAGTTAACAATGACTGTGTGTGCTCCAGAAAGAAATGGGCAGGAGGGGGGAGAGGGGAATATCATATACTTAGCGTACCTGCCCAGGGGTGAATGAGAAGAGACATGGTTTTCAAGGAGTTTTGCAGACCCCAGGTGGGGAAGGAGAGAGTACCCGCCCTTGCAGCCTTGGGTCCCTGGCACTGATGGGGCTGCCCTCGCTGTCTCCCCTGGGCAGGCATCGGCCCCGATGGACACATTGCCTTCAATGAGCCGGGCTCAAGTCTGGTGTCCAGGACCCGTGTGAAGACGCTGGCCATGGACACCATCCTGGCCAATGCTAGGTTCTTCGATGGAGATCTGACCAAGGTGCCCACCATGGCCCTGACAGTGGGTGTGGGCACTGTCATGGATGCTAGAGAGGTAAGGGTGCAAGGGCACAGGCCTTCAATGGGGGGGTTGGACTAGTCTTTTCGTTAAAAAATTTTAATTGTCACAGGTACCGCCTGAATACATTTGTATTAAAAATGAAGACATTATAAGTGAGGGTAAAATCCCACTGACCCTATGACTTCCTCCCCCTCTTCGGAGGGAACCCTTGTTCCAAGTGTGAGTTGACTCCTTTGAGTGCCCAGGAGACCCCAGGACCCAGGCCTCTGCATGTGTACCTCTTTCGAGCTCCTCACAGGCAGAGGAGCCCAGCACCACTAATGTCTGAATGTGAACTTGCACCTGCCCAGGTACTAAGAGGAACCCTCTGGTTCCTGCAGTTGAGGGGGGCCACTGTTTGAAGGGAGCTTCTGTAACTCCAAGATGTTCATGGTCATAGCCTGTGTTCAGGGATTCCTAAATGTGGAAAAGTGTGATTGAAAATACATGTCCTAAACGGAATTTAGTTTTTCCCTAGAAAGTTGGGTAACATTTGAATTTTTTGTGGTTCCAATTTCCTACTGCCTTTCACTAGAATTTTAGAAACATTTTTTCTTCCTGGGGTATATTTAGTGGGAAACAGCTACAGACATTTTAGCTTTCAGCTTCTTTGCCGGAGTCTGTAAACAAACATCTGAGTCTAAAGTGACTTTTGTGCAATGCGCAATGGCGCCAGATTTCTGTTGGGCAGCCTGAAATCAGTGCCTAGAGCAGCCACTCCACTGTTCTCAGCCCTAATCTGAGAAAGAGCCTGGGCTGGATGCCAGGAAATTCTCTTCTATAGATCTGGGGTCCTGAACAAAGAGTCATCTTCTCTCTATGCCTCTGTTTTCTCACCTTTTAAGAAAGGAACAGTGCCCGGCCTGGCGTGGCTCGGCGGTTGAGCGTCAACCTGGGATCCAGGCGATCGGGGTTCGATTCCCGGTCAGGGCACATGCCCGGGTTGTGGGCTTGATCAATGACTCTCTCATCATTGATGTTTCTATCTCTCTCTCCCTCTCCTTTCTCTGAAATCAATAAAGATATATTTNCTCTCTCATCATTGATGTTTCTATCTCTCTCTCCCTCTCCTTTCTCTGAGATCAATAAAGATATATTTAAAAAAAAAAAAAAAAGAAAGGAACAGTAAACCCTGTTCACAACTCCGTGGTGCAAGTGAATTACAGTGAAAGGAAATCCATAGAGAAGTGTTCCTTACGATCACTGTCCAGCACTTGGTATTTTAACTGTTGAAGGAAGTCTGTGCCTTGGCTTTATTTAAACACAAATCATTACCCCAAGTCACATTAGTAGGTCTAATACTCGGAAATGAAAATGAGCAGATTAAGGGGCAGCCTTGTTGGGATTCAGCTTTACCATGCAGATGACTCAGCGTTGCTTCCAAGGTCTCCTGGCAGATTGGGACCCATCTTTTTGCTCATGATTGTGAAAACCCACCCAGCCTAGGACCTTCTAGAACCCAGTATGAGAACTGTTGGGCTAAGAGGTGGGCCTTTGTATGGCCTATCTGTGCACAGGGCGCTTGCACAGTCCCCATCAAAGGTGCCAGGAGGCACTATGGAGTGATGGGTGGTCTAGAACATGCACTTAGGGTCAGAAACGCCCTGGGGCGGGTTACTTAACCCTGGCCCCCAACCCCAGCCCATTTCGTCATAGAACATGGGGGTAGTGATGCTCCCTGCTCAGGGAACGTGGGACAGCGCAAGGGGCGCGGAGCAGTGTGTTGCACGCTGAGGACTTGTGGTGGGATATGGAACAGCAGTCCTTAGGCTGTTTGGGGCGGCCTGGGCTTGCGGTTTCGCTGTGCCTCCCCGTCATGGGCTTGTTCTCTGGTCCCCAGGTGATGATCCTCATCACAGGTGCTCACAAGGCGTTTGCTCTGTACAAAGCCATCGAGGAGGGAGTGAACCACATGTGGACCGTGTCTGCCTTCCAGCAGCACCCCCGCACCGTGTTTGTATGCGATGAGGACGCCACCCTGGAGCTGAAAGTGAAGACTGTGAAGTATTTCAAAGGTGAGGGAGGCGTGGGTCTGGGAGCTGGTGGCGGAGTTCAGGATATGCCAGGAGTGGGGAGTGGGTCCAGCTTTCATGCTCTGGACATTTTAATCATCAACTCTGCTTTTAATAAAAATCAAACCCTGTCTCAGAATACAGTCATTTCGCTTCCATCCACACCTGTGAGGGTCCATTTCTGGAGACCTGTTTGCTCTGAGGCGGAGGGAAGAAAATGAAAAATTGTAGTCCAAGGGCTATGTGGTGATCTTGGCAGGACTGTTGAGCAAACGGTTCTGAGGCTCTTTTGTTATTAAATCTACCTGAAAAGGACACACTGCTTTAAGCAAATTTGTGTGAAAAATCCTCATTTACTGAGCAAATTGGGAATTTGTTCTTTGCTGAAAAGGTTAACTCTTTAATGGCCAACTCTCCTAGAGATTGCATTTACAAAAGTCCTGTGGATTCCTGTGTTCTTCGGGAATAACAAATTGTTTTCCTATTCTTGGGGTGTTTTATCAGTTGGAGCCACAGAGACACATGAATATCAGTTCTAGGACAAACCTTGAGGGCTCTTGGACATTACTGTGGACAGTTGTGGAACTCTGCCTCTACCTGCATTAAGTACCTTTTGTTTTTATTTTTATTTTTTGTAGGTTTAATGCTTGTTCATAACAAGTTGGTGGACCCCTTGTACAGTATGAAAGAGAAAGAAACAGAGAGAAGCCAGTCTTCTAAGAAGCCGTACAGTGATTAACCTGTGCTGACCCTAGTGTCAAGTACCTCATTGGGACAGGCCAATCTTTCTGGAAATTGTCTGGAGAACAGAATTGTATTTTTTTAATCCAGTATGATTACTCCAGATGAACAGGTGAACTTACTGTTCCTGGCTCTGCAGCATGGAGCCTAGTGGTGGAGTTTAGCTATAGGAGAAATGACTTGTTTGTAACTTAATCAGGAAAAAAAACACTCCGTAATTTTGATGTCTGCTCCACAGATGAGGGGTTTTGGCGCTTTGTTCTGCCTCTGACACTGTTCACATGTACAGCACACTCCAGTCAGGATTTCTGTCATTATGTGCAGATTCTCAGTGGGGGAAAGAGGGGCTGTTGTACTGGACAGAGCCTCTTTGGAGAGGCTTGAGAGCCCCTCTTGAGCAGGCCTGCCCCTTATTTGAGAATCACTGTTCCAGATTAAGGGACAAACTCTCAATATGTAAAATCAGCATTAGGAGGCAGTCCCTCTGGTCAGTAACAAGTGCCATGGAAAGAAACCTGCTCCTTACTTTCTTTCCTCCTTTCCCTCTCTCTTTTTTTCTCTCTCTCAGTTGGCCTCTCCATGAACTCTGAGGACTCCTTGGGGAGGATTTGGGAGGGGAGGCTGAAGAGAAGGCTTTGCTGATAAGCTCAGAACCTCAAAGGGCCCAGCAACGTCAAACTCCTCTCCCTCAGGGACCTTCCAGTACCGGCAGGAAGGCAGAAGCCCTTTTCCCACCAGTGCCCTGTGTTTTGTTCCAAGGTCTCACTGGCTCCCCCTTTACATACTTATTAATACGCAGAAGGTCCACTGGGGCAACCAACACTGGCAAAATTTCAATGTGTTCAGCCAAGGTGACGGGGGCTGGGGTAAGCAGCTCAATTATGAGTTTAGTCACAACACCAGTGACATGTTCTCCTGCTTCCCTTAGGAGCTGAGTGCCAAGACTACATACAAATGCTTCTAAAGCCGCCTTTCCCCACCTAAAATACCCTGGCCTTCTCACCCTCTTGGGTTCATGTGGTGAGCTCTGATGTTTCCAGAACATCGGGAAATAGAACCCTTCTGTCCCTGTACCCTTCACCCTGTTCACAAGACGAGTCTATTGCTCTGCCTGCCTTTTACTCTCTTAAGCCTCCTGCTCCCTCTTTGTGCCTGCTTCAAGCTGCTGCCACCTCTATTTCTGATGAAGATCTTTCTGTGCTGTGCTGGGTACCAGCATTTTGTCCAACTTTTATACATGGTTGTGCTGTTATAGGTCAGTGGGCTGGCTTACAATGTGATGTTTTCTATTAAATCCAATATTTTCAAATTTGTCATTTGTGGACTTCACCCCCAATCCCCTAAAAGGTCAGAAGATGGTCTGGGTTCATACATATTTTGGGAATGGCTGGTGAACAAAGCTTTACACTCCTCATACAGCTCTGCAGGAAGTCACAATCATAGCAACTGGATCTTTTGCATTTACTCGGGGAAAAAGAAAATATTTCATAAAACTGAAGCACCTGTGTGGAAAATGGCAGGAATGAATAGTAGAACAATAAACTGTCATGTTCTAACTGTATTTGGGATCCAAACAAGGATATAGCTGTTAAAAAGAACAAGGCAGATCTGTGAACAGGAGGGATACAAAAACTGCATGGTATGGAAAATAGGTTTAGTTTTGTTTTTTAAAGTTAAAAATCAATAATAATGGAACATCTTGGGTCAATATAACCAACTGAAGTACAAGTAGAAGTTGGAAGAAGGGTTTTATTTTTTACCAGTTATATTGACATATAATTTATGTGCCCATAAATTCACCTATTTTAAATATAAATGCAATGATTTTTATTAAGTTTCTGCATGGAGTTGTGCAGGTTCTCACCACAATCAATTTCTGTCATCCCCAAAAGCTCCCTACTCCTGTCCCATGCCAGGTGACCACTAGTGGGCTTTGTCTACAGGTTTACCTTTTCTGGATGTTTCACATAAATGGAATCATACAGCATGACATCTTTTGGGTCTGGCTTTCACTGAACATGTTTTTGAGGTTCCTGTGACATGCAGCAGTAATCCATTCCTTTTTATTGCTGAAGAGTACTCCATTATATGAGTATGTCCTCTTGTTTATGCAGTAAAAAGGGGTTAATTTTTAAGTAGGTATGTTACAGAAAAAAATTATATTAGAATGAAAGGAAAAAGGACTGTGATGACTGCCAAACTTAAGACATCTGTATGAACTCAGGACCTTACAAAGAGCTGTATTTCCCAGGCCTGTGTTTCCCTGGTGGCTCAACAGCAGTGTCATCTGCTTCAACCAGTTCTTGTGTGGATCCTGGGCCAGGCTGGGCCTCTGACACTATGCAGGGCTTCTTGGACAGAAGCTAATTTCATGGGTTTGAGCAGGGATCACAGTGGGCCTGGAATATCTTGTTGCCAGAAAGCAAAGGTGCTTCTAAAAACGAGGCAGTATTAAGAGGACAAAGCAGCCTGTTAAACGGGGCTCCCAATGGCCAGGTTGTGACGATTTGATCAATGAAGAACTATTAAATATAGTTAAGAAAAAGTTGAGTCTGAAACCCCAAGTCTGATCCTCAAAACGGAAAAATATGAAGTATACATGCAGAGTTGTATTTTAGGAAGAGGGGATAGAATATATGTAAAGTTCTAAGTGGCAGCATGTTGACATAAATGTGTCACCTCTTCTAGAGATGGACACAGGAGCCTGGCCCACACTTCCCCCCAGATATATCTATGGCTTACTCCCTAACTTCCTCAGATCTCTGTTCAAATGTTATTTATCAGAGAGATCTTCCCTGTCCAACAAAAAGTAGCAATCCTGATTCCCTCTCCCCCTTGCTCTGTTTTCTCAAATCTTTACCACTTGTAGTGATTTTGTTTCCCACTAAATGTAAACTTCATGAAAGCAGACTCTAAATACTGCTCTATCCTGTCCCTATCAGTGCTTTCATTNATATTAAATATAGTTAAGAAAAAGTATGTGTGATTTTGTTTCCCACTAAATGTAAACTTCATGAAAGCAGACTCTAAATACTGCTCTATCCTGTCCCTATCAGTGCTTTAATTTCTAGAAGGCACACATTATTTGCTCTAAGCCTGACAGTTACCCCCATGAGTAGTGATCATATACAATAACCAGGAGAAACAATAGCATATTATATGATAATAGATTAGCCAATTGGCCTACTGAGATCTAACTTTGCAAATTTGATGCCTTTCCTGGAAACCGTAACCATTACTGTGATGAGATGCATACGTTTCCAATGAGATATTGTGAAAGAATGCTGAGTTATGTACTAACAGGTAAAACAGAACGCAGTAATTTGGACCTCAAGGGTGCACTTAACACCAATCACACCATAGTCCATTCAGTCTTCTTGAATACTAATTCATATGGTCTCCAGCATCCAATCTCTCTTCCCCCAGCTTTTTTCGCAGCTGATGACCTTGAAAGTAGAAGTAATCAGGAAAGAACAAGCTCCCACCATACCTGCCAGCCCTGCCCTCATACTCTGCCTTCTTCCTGTTACTTGCTTCTTGGCCAGTCCCTCCACTGACACACTAGATCCCATCTTCTCTTGCCTCCTTGAAGGCTCTGCTCCAGCAAGACTCTCCTCCCTCCCGCAGCATTAAATCGTTCTTTCCTGGATCACTCCTATGAGCATACAAAATAAACTTTAAAAACAAAACTATCCTGTTTGCCCCTTCCTGTAACAGCCTCATTCTCTGATCCCTTTTATTGCAAAATTTCTAGAGTTACCAATATTCTGGCTCTCAGCTTTTAAAAAAATTTGAGAAACATTGATTTGTTGGCCCACTTATTTATGCATTCACTGGCTGCTTCTTGTGTGTCCTGACCTGGGATCAAATCTGAAACCTTGGCATATCAGGATGCTCTAACCAACTGAGCCGGTTGACCAGGGCTGGCTCTAATCTTTTCCCTCTTGTTCCGTCTACCTGGTATTCCCAATATGCATATGCTACACGTTTTGTAATTGTCTCACAGTTCTTGAATATTCTGTAACAAGCCCCGCTCCACCCCCGCCCATTCCTTTTAAAATTTCAGTTTGGGATATTTTATGGACATTTCTTCAGGCTCACTGATTCTTAGTTGTGTTCAGTCTACTGATGAGTCCATCAAAGGCATTCATTCTATTACAGTGGGTTGCGGGGTTTTTTTTAGCATTTCTTTATGATTCTTAGAGTTTCCATCTTTTGCTTACATTACTCATCTGGATTTTGCATGTTGAGGTTTTTCCATCAGAGACCTTAGCATATATTTTTTAAATTATGTTTTTATTGATTTCAGAGAGAGGAAGGGAGAGAGGGAAACATCAAGAGATTCATTGATCAGCTGCCTCCTGCACGCCCCCTACTGGGGATGGAGCCTCCAACGCAGGCATGTGCCCTGACTGGGAATCGATGCCCAACCACTGAGCCAAGCCGGCCAGCCCTTAGCATATTAATCACAGAAAAATTACCTGTCTGATAACTTAAAATCTCTGCCATATCTGAGTCTGGTTCTGATGCTTGCTTTGACTCTTCAGACTTTTTCCCCTGCCTCTTAGCATCCTTGTAATTTTTTATTGAAAGCTGGACATGATCTACTGGGTGACAGGAACTGAGGTAAACAGGCCTTTAGTGTGAGGCTTTATGTTGATCTGCTAGCAGCTAAACCGTGTTTAATGTTTACTGGAGGCATCAGAGGCTTCAGTTTCCTTCAGTGTCCTTGTTTTTGTCTCCACCGTTGTCTTCAGGTTTCCCTAGAAATTTCTTCTTCAAACAGTCTGTTTTACAGCTCTCTTAAGAGCTGTAATCCACTGTTACAATCCTGGAGCCCTGCTGGTGGTATGGTATTAGGGAGAAGCGGCATTCAATACTCATGATTAAATCTGTTTTGGGGGTTTTGTTTTTGTTTTTAGTGGGCTGGAGTCCCTGGGCTGAGGCTTTCAAAGTCTCTTGGCTTTTTCTTTTATTCTCCCCCTCCTGTGAGCCAGGAAGGCTAGAGGGGGCTCAAGCCATCCGACTGCCCTTCCCTTAGGTCAGAGAAGGCTCAGGCAAAGTACTTTTCCCCGAGGGTAGCCTTCTGCCATAGAAACAAACCTTTAAGGGTATTTCAAAATGGATACAGGAGGATTTTTCTGCCATTTTTACAGTGAGAGCCTGGGGGAACCTCTGGAGGTAAAATGCATTAAAGTGTGGGGGCCCCAGGAATTTTTAACTCTCCAGCTAGTGCATACTCAGCCTCTAGCAAGTCCTGGTTAATGACTGCAGCAGCTTCAGCTTTAAGTGAGCTGATCTGTATTTTCTGCATTTTCCAGTCTCTAGTTTTCGTGGTGGTTTGCCATGTGACCTTGGTTCTCTGATGGATCTACAAAAAGTTGATTTTGTTTGTTCAGCTTTTTTCTTGTTGTAAGGATGCCCCCATTGTTTCTCAAACACTCCAGGTTTTCACATCCCCTCCACTGAAAGAGTACTTGTCAAAGTCACCAATGACCTCTGCTTTGATTGCTCAGTCAATTCTTAGAGCTCCTATTATTTGACCTATTTGCAGAACCTGATAGAGCAGACCACTCCTTCCTTCAAACTGGACGTGGCTTCCAGGATATCACACTCTACTGATTTTCCTACCTTACTGTGCACTCTGTCTCTGCTGGTTCCTCCTCATTGCCCTGACCTCTTAGCATGTGGAGTGCCCCAAAACTCAGTCTCTGGACCTCTTCTAAACAACTCACTCCCCTAGTAATTCCATCTAGTCTCATGGCTTTAAATACCACCTGTATGTTGACTTCCACATTTACATCTCCATCCTTGAACTACAGGATACAATATCCAACTGCCTACCTAACATCTCCATTGAGATAACTACAAGGCATCTCAGACTCATCTGTCCACAGCTGAATTCCTGCTCTTCACCTGCAAACCTATGCTACCTACAGGTCTCTCCATCTCAACTACTCAGACAAAAGGACCTAGAAATCAACTCTGATGCCTCACTTTCTCACGTTATACATCAATCTATCAGCAAGTCCTATTTATTTTACTTTTAAGGCAAGTACACAATCTGACCACTTCTCAGGATTCCAAGTGCTGGCACACTTTTCCAAGCCACCTGTACTTCTCACCTGAGTTACTACAGTAGTCTCCTACCTGGTCTGTTTCACCTCTTGCGCACCCCACTCCCCTAAAATATAAGTCAGACCGTATCACACATCTGCTGAAAGCCCTCCAAAGGCTCCCATCTCAAAGTAGATGCCAAATTTCACACAAGGCCCCAGGCAGTCTGCACCACCACCCACTCCCCCATCCCACCTCTTACTATTCTCCCTTCCTTGGTCTGCTTCAGCTCTTACAATCAGACTGCTTCTGAAATCCTCTAACATGCTCCTACCCCAAGGGCCTCTGGCCTTCCAGTTCCCCCTGCCTAGACTCTCCTCTCTCAGGTGTCCACAGGGTTCATTCCCATGCTGCCGAACTTTTGTTCAAGTGCTATCTGATGATGTCTTCTCCACTCTTTAAAATTACAATACCACTCTGCCTCCCCTAACTCTCTATACCGGGGTGGAGAACCCCTTTTTCTGCCAAGGGCCATTTGAATATAACATCACTCTCAGGCCATACAAAATTATCAACTTAAAAATTAGCCTGCTATATTTGGTCAAATATTTAATTAACTCACCCCTAATATGATGGCTGGAATTGCTTCTCTTTGGTGAGGCCTTGGCAGGGCCAGACCAAATGATTTCATGGGCTTTATACAGCCTGTAGGCCGGACATTCCCCACCCCTGATCTACACCCTCTCCCAACTTCTCTCCAGAGTGCTCGTCTTCTGATGAACCATGTAATTTGCTTAGTGTCTGTGTCCTTCCAACAGAATTTAAGTTCCACAAGGGCAGAGAGAGTTATGTCTGTTTTATTCACTGCCACATTCTCAGTACCTAGATAAATAGTCCGGCTCATTGTGAAGTGCTCAGTAAATACTTGTTAAATTAGACAATACATTCTATACTATGAAACACAATAGGTTGCAAGAGAAGGAATGGGATTGAAAGTAAAACAATCACTTTTAAAATTTATATGCATTTATGTTGTATTAATATTAGTTTTGTTTGTTGACTCAATGAAGGAAGAAAAAAAAAAAGCACCAAGCAAGGAAAAGAAGTAACTGTGCTGACTTTGTACTTAGCAACTTTGGTATCAGAATCTCACCAAGTTTTCAATGTGCACAATCTTCTCCAAAGCATCCTCTAGCTCAGAATACAGGAAACCTTAGAATTGGGCAGACTAGACTCTGGGTGCTGAAAGTTGATAATTATCATAAAATTTGGTAAGAACATCTTCAAAGCCAACTTTCTGACTACAAACCCTCAGGCTGGTATGCTGGCCGACTTTTTAATTGAGCCAAAGCTCAGGGAGCAGACTATTCAGCTACTCTTACCAGAGGGCACCACAATGTCATAATTTCTCCATCCTACTTAGGGGCTTCAGCTATAACTTATTTTCTTCAGTGGCTGCAGACAAGTGCTACTATCAGGAGTGACACCTTCCTACATAACAACTGGATGTCAGCTGTGGTTCAAGTACAGTTTTAGGTGGCCTTACAGTTTTTGGTAATACTCCTATTCCTGCCTTGCTGCTATCATTAGATGCGATTCTACCCACCAATGTGTATAACAGACTATAATGAAACACAAGGAAAATTAAAATCCCAGACATAAAACTACTTCTGTAGTCTTAACCATTTACTGAACTTTTATAACATGGGAACTGCTGCCACCTGCTGCTGGTGCTGATGGCAAAGTTACTACTTGGGATCTCCAAAATTTCAGCCAATAATTGTAAAATTCCCTTCCAAAGCAGGGAGCCACACGAATGGCTTTATGATTATCGTATCTGATTAACTCTAATTCTCTTAACAACAAAAAAGTAAGTATATTAATATCTAATGTAAACTAGAACTCTCTACAACTAAAAAATGACCTTGCTGTTAGTGCTATAGGTCTGGGAATACGGCTGCCAAGTCTTCTCTCTACTATTCTTCTCAACAGGAAGGGATATGTATTTTAAGTATATTTACTTTAAGGTAAAAAAATTACTTAAAAAAAATAAATTGGGATTCATCCTAGGCCCTAAAGCCACATGGACACCCTGCCCTAATTTCCTTTTTTGAGACACCACTGAGACTATCAAGGTGATGTTCTCCCTCATTGCAGTAGATCTAATAAACTTCGCTTTGTTGGAGAGAAACAAGATGGCGGCACAGGTAACAGCTGCACCCGCCGCCTCCTGCAGCCACAGCAAAATCACAACTAAATACAGAACCACCATCACTCAGAGCCTCCTGAGATCCGGCTGAACAGAAGCCCCACAACCAGGGACCTGAAGAAGCACCGAGACCGGGAGGAGGGGCAGAGACGCGGGTGGATCGGGGCTGAATCGAAGACTCACCACGGGCCCACACCCGGTGCCGCAGGGTAAACCCGGGAGGGAATCTCGGCGGTGGAGGTTTCCCAGAGAGAGGGGTCCCAGCCCCCCAGCAGGCCCCAGCCCAGGGCTCCAGGGCCGGGAAAAGACGGCCCCACAACTCCGGGCTGTGAAACCAGCGGGGACTGTCTCTGAGGGTCGAGGAGGCTGCGGGAGCCCCAGCAGCTCCTCTTAAAAGGCCCGGCACGGACTCACTTAGACGCTCCCTCTGAGCCCAGCGCCGGGCAGCAGCCTGAAGGGACCTGGGACACTTGGGGAGGAACTAACCTGTCTGAGATCCGGGCGAGAGGTGGGGGGGCGGCTTCCTCCCAGGCAGAAGGGCTGGCGGAGGCCATGGC